GATAGAAAGTCAAAAGTCAAGTGAAAAGTGAGTAATGGTATGTACTCCTGGCGCTTATATAGCGCCTAAGTGCTGTCATGTGGAGCCAAAGCGCTACCGAGTAGGTATGTAGAGATATATATAAGTAAGGGTCCATGATAAAAATAAGGTGGAACAATATACAAATGAGAGAAACGAAAATATACGCACTAGAGAACTTGGAGGACAGTGGATGGATGCATCTGGATGGCTGGCGTTATAGGGCGCTCAAGCGCGGGAACGCGCGCGCGCATATACATCGTGAAGCGCAGGAAGTGTGCGCACATGGCGCAGGAAAGTTGCACTAGTGAAAGGTGCCATATCACACCATGAGAGGCATGAGTCTCTACACCGTATCACGGCCAAAGGTTGGAGTAAGTCTGTAGCTTAGTGCCCCATCAGTCACACAACATCAGGCCTACTTTAAAAGCTGCATACTGACAATCAAGTTCATGCACCAGTACATCACCTGTGTGAGCAGCACTCAGAATGCGTATCAGGTGGGTGAACAGTGCACCGAGCTCAAACTCATGCATGAGGTCTACAACCAGCATCACAAACAGATTGAATCCAAGGAAACTGAGCCTCTCTGAAAATGCTGTAGAGACTCATGCCTCTCATGGTGTGATATGGCACCTTTCACTAGGGAGTTCATTGCACAAACTTGCAGCACCACTCTGTGTGCTGTCCACAGCTATCCCTATATGAGGCGCAGCTTTCCCGCGCAACATGCGCCATGCGCACACAATTCCCGCACTTTGTGATGTATATGCATGCGCGCTTTCCCGCGCTTGAGCACCCTATAGCGCCAGCCATCCAGATGCATCCATCCACTGTCCACCAAGCTCTCTAGTGCGTATATTTCCATTTCTCTTATTAGCATATCGTTCCACCTTTATTTTTATCATGGACTCTCACTCATATATATCTTTACATACCTTACTCGGTAGCGCTTTGGCTCCGCATGACAGCGCTTAGGTGCGCTATATAAGCGCCAGCAGTATATACTTCACTTGGCACCTTACTTCACCTCTCACTTTACCTACTACTTACTACCTAGAAAGTCGCAGTAGAAATCTATTCCTTGACACTTTGCACTCTCATCTCTTGTCTTACATTATATCATCACTTAAGCTTAGTCTCTCTCATTTCCACATACCTGCACGCACTTTCCCACACTTCGCGCATCACGTGCGCGCGCGTTCCCGCGCCTTTGTGCCTTGCATGCACCTGCGCTTTCTCGCGCTTCACTTTAGCGCACACTTCTAGATCCTTGCTGCACTCGCTTCCCCTTTAGGGTCGAACACACTTGTCTTCTCAAGTATAGCAGACTAGGCAATGCGCGACCTTACAACATTTACAGATACAGTCAGGAGCCTCATTCGCGCCTCACAGTATTGTTGTTTCTACAATGTGTTCTGAAAAATCATGGTTAGTATTCATACAAAGTGCCACAGCGATGCCAATGTACAGGAGTAGGTACCAACAACTGGTCTTTCAATATATTTTCAACGTAGTTGCTGCAACACTGTAACCACTGTTGTAGACGATCAAACGTGAGATTGTGACTTTATTTTTCTGGGAATTGTCATCTATGCACGCAAGGGTCTGGCATTGTTTCATGTTGAGTGACAAGCCCAGATTCTGAATGCAGGATTTCGGAATGAGGCATCGGGGACATGGGCAGCCACCCAGATTCTGTATTGTAGCCAATAATACCCTGACAATGGATTGTGCAATCATTTAGTTGATTACCGCTCTAAGTAGTATAAAAATCGACTTACTTTTCTGGATAGTTGGCAGAGTATGTGAAGATCCGAGGGTAAAAGTGACACTGAATTCCATCACAACAGCATATCACAATCCTGTGCTTGCAGGCTTCTACAAACTCATCATCAAGCATAATCATCCATTGCGCCATAAAGTCAGCACCAGGGCCTTTACCACCAAATGTCGGAAATTTCCTAAGTCGGTTGCAATAGGGTACCTTTGAGTCTTGGTACCAACCGTATTGATACCGAGTTGAGATTTTGTACCGATGTTCCATTATTGATACTCAATAGGAATATTTCTACTGAAGTTGCGATATTGATAGCGAAAGTTGGATTATTCAAGGTGAGTCACATTATTGATACCGGGTCACAACCTCATTGACACTGATTATGTACTTTTAAATCAATACATCTTCTGCAGCGTGCACTGCGGCACTGTCCGATCCAGTCAACACTTCCTCCCTCTATCAACTGCACCCCCCAATTGTTTTTCTACATCTTACTGGTATGTCAGTATCATCTTGAAGTCTGAATCTAACACTGATGCATCAGTATTATGACAGAACACCACAACTTTCATCATCATATGCCTCCAGATCAGTATTGCCTGTGTTCAATTTGTGGCGCATCCTACCATCGACAAGGTCTCCGGACACATGAAAACGCATGCCGAAAGCGATCTGAACAGAGGAGAGAGGATGTTGAACTTGCTAGAGAGATTCGCCGAGGTACGACATAATATCAATCTGTCAATTGATGTTGCGTCTGAATCAATTTAAATCAATTCATAGAGAGAGAACATAATGTGCAAATAGGGTCTGGACCCGTGTTTGTTGGCGACCAACCATCCAGCTCAGCTCTTCATATGTTTTCACTAATATCTAGCTCACAGCCTTGAATTGATTGCCATTTGTGACTTGTTTTGGGCTTTTCATTCAAGCCACTGCCTATCATCATTCACAGGACAATGATGCCTTTGATATTGATGGTCAAATAGACTATCCTAATGATCCTGACATCAGACAGATGAATAGTACATTTATTCTCTCCACCTTCCCCATCCATTCAGCTCACAACGTTCCTTTCAGGTTCTCCACCACCCGAATCTAGAACGGCATCACCTCGACCCCAGTTTGAGGAGGATGACATCCAAGTCCAGTATTGTCCCAGTAGTCAGCGCCCAACACAGGTTTTTTAGTTTGAGGATTATGGACGTGGTCTTGGCGCCCCCACAGTAGTTCCACTGGTTGAACCTGAGCCATGGTACCCATTCCAAACTCGGATCGACTTTGAAGTTGTGGAGCTTGTTCTCGAAGCAGCACTCACTCACCAGCAGACAGACCAGTGTAGAGACTCATGCCTCTCATGGTGTGATATGGCACTTTTCACTAGGGATTACATAGCACGAACTTGCAGCACCACTCTGTGTGCTATCCGCAGTTATTCCTATATGAGGCGCAGCTTTCTCGCGCAACGCACGCCATGTGCGCACCATTCCCGTGCTTCGCGATGTATATGCACATGCGCGTTCCCGCGCTTGAGCACCCTATAGCGCCAGCCATCCAGAAGCATCCATCCACTGTCCACCAAGCCCTCTAGTGTGTATATTTCTATTTCTCTCATTTGCATATTGTTCCGTCTTTATTTTTATCATGGACTCTCACTCATATATCTTTACATACCTACTCGGTAGCGCTTTGGCTCCGCATGACCACGCTTAGGCGCGCTATATAAGCACCAGCAGTACATACTATTACTTACTTACTTTTCCTACCTTTCACTTACTTTTTTCACCCAACTTTACTTACATACTTAATACCTAGAAAGTCGCAGTAGAAATCTATTCATTAGCACATCGCATCTCACATCTCTTATCTTGCTTTATATCATCACTTAAGCTTAGTCTCTCATTTCCGCATACACGCGCGCACTTTCCCGTGCTTCGCGCAATACGCGCGCGCGTTCCCGCGCCTTGCGCGCACCTGCGCTTTCTCACGCTTCGCTTCAGCGCGTACCTCTAGATCTTCACTCCACTTGCTTCCCCTTTAGGGTCAAACGCACATGTCTCCTCAAGTAACGCAGACTAGGCAATGCGCGACCTTACAACTATTTACAGATACAGTCAGGAGCATCATTTGTTCCTCTCAGTATTGTTGTTTCTACACCGGCTTTTCGACCTCATTCGTTGCACCAAGTCTGAACAGTTCATGCTTCGGAATCGCAAAGATGTATGAGATACATGGGATGCAGCTTCGTTTAAATTGACACCTGTCTGTATTCAATTTCTCTAAGTGTAAACTAATCTAAGGCTTTTGCGATAACAGTTTGTAAAGGAAGAGGTAGTTGTGCCATTTCAAGGTGATGATAAGACATTTCAACTATTCCATCGCTCGATATGGGACTGGGCTGTGGATCTCCTTCAGGATCCCCAAGTTGGTCCGCATTTTGTCTTTGATGCTGAACGGTGTAGAGAATCATGCCTCTCATGGTGTGATATGGCGCTTTACACTAGGAGTACATAGCACGAACTTGCAGCACCACTCTGTGTGCTATCCGCAGTTATTCCTATATGAGGCGCAGCTTTCCCATGCAGCGCGCACCATTCCCGTGCTTCACAATGTATACGCGCACACGTGTTCCCGCGCTTGAGTGCCCTATAGTGCCAGCCATCCAGAAGCACCCATCCACTGTCCACCAAGCCCTCTAGTGTGTATATTTCTATTTCTCTCATTTGCATATTGTTCTGTCTTTATTTTTATCATGGATTCTCACTCATATATATCTTTACATACCTACTCGATAGCGCTTCAGCTCCGCATTACAGCGCTTAGGCGCGCTATATAAGTGCCAGCAGTACATAGTACTACTCACTTTCCATTTTTACCACTTACTTTTCCTACAACTGCACCTCTCACTTTACCTAGCACTTACTACTTAGTAGAACATAGTAGAAATCTATTCCTCTACACTTCGCATCTCTCTTCACTTATCTTGCATTATATTACCACTTAAGCTTTGTCTCTCTATTGTTTCCGCATATGCGCGCGCGCTTTCCCACACTTCGCGCCAATACGCGCGCGTTTTCCCGCGCCTTGCGCACACCTGTGCATTCTCGCGCCTTGCTTCAGCGCGTACCTCTAGATCTTTGCTGCACTCACTTCCCCTTTAGGGTTGAACGCACTTGTCTCCTCAAGTAACGCAGACTAGGCAATGCGCAACCTTACAACATTTTATAGATACAGTCAGGAGCATCATTTGTTCCTCTCAGTATTGTTGTTTCTACAATGGCTTTCGAAGTTTAACAGTGACAAGTTCATTCGGTTCATTCACGAGCCTTGGACAGCCAACACATTCTGGGAGTATCAAGTATGCAACACTATTGTTTTATGGGTCTGTGCCATGTATTAATGTAGCATTGTTATAGTCACAAATACCATCAGATGCCAAGCTTCTCGCCTTCATTCTTTACACAGATAAAGTCAAATTGTCATTGTTTGGTCGGGCGAAAGGTTATCCTGTCATTGCTTGGTGCGCTAACCTTCCTGTTGCCATTCGTAATGGAGAAGGCTTGGGTGGTGGACGTGTAGTGGGATGGTTACCAATTGTTAATTCTGTCCTTCACTCAATGACTGAATATTATCAACTAACAGTACTTTGACAGGTGAAGGAGGACAAGAAGCACTCCGGAAAGCCGGTATATGTCAACCTCAAAAATGCAGTATGGCATCAATCATTTCTGAAGATCCTTGCCTGCCTCGCACTGCTGTTGAAGTTTGGATCTGCCGTTAAATGCTGGGATGACATCATTTGTATCTTCTATCCGATCATACTCATACTCTCTGCAGACTACGAAGAACAGTTTGTGTCAATATTAATGCTCCCTCGGTAACGTCTTTGACACTCTTACAGGTCTGTGATGGCATTGATTCGTGGTCTGATGGGAAAATTCCCTTGCCCTATATGTCTTGTGCCTCATGACGAGCTTTCTAAGACATCTAATATTTATCCTCTTTGCACATCTGCAGGTGCGAAGGCATTACGTGTTCAGGCCCAAGAGTCTACAACCTTGGAAGCACGAGAACAAATACTGAGCTCCAAGAGCCTTCGTGATGTTGATGTAAGTCTTTGTTTTGTTTCTGACTCTATTAATATTTAAATTGTCGTACTTAGAATTCATTTGATACCATGGAGAATACTGATGTTCATCGGGCTCTCTCAAATGACAAACTCCACTTTAATTATGGTGGCCTTTTCAGTGATCACCTGTGGGCTGAACTGCAAAAGTGGATCGAAAGTTCAGGTCAACAAGCTGCTGTGCAGATTGACAGCTCGTGCATAGGTTTGTCTATATTTTACAGATGCTAATTTAGATTTCCAGCTTTCACTCGTTTCCACGCTGGTGAAATCTCAATCATTTCGACCAGGTTACATCGATATCTTTTTCTGATGGAACAAAGTATGAAGATATATCAAAGGAAAGTTACTCTAGTAGTAGACTATTCACCATTAACTTAATTAAACAAATGTAGCTTATTGTCTTTGCAGCTCATAATGTATTTCGTCAAGATCAGGATTCAGAGGCTTATCTTCTGCTCCGTTGTATTCGTAGCTATGTGGAATTCAACACATATGCTTCATTAGATGTCCATACTGAAGACACTATCAAAGATGGCTGAAAAGCTCTCGAAAATTTGACTCAATTGATGGATGTATGTTCTTTGTATATTATATTCTCAACCAGCAACACATTGATTCAACTAATATTGCGAGTCAGAAATACATCGAAGACATGTTAGACTTAATTGACAAGTCATGGAATTTCCCGAAGAAACATCTTTCTGCGCATCTCTTCGACAATATTGAGGCAAAAGGTGTCACCCGAAACTATAACACGAAACCGAATGAAAAAATGCATGGCCCACTGAAGGATGCTTATCAGGATCATACAAACTTCAAGAACTTCGCTGAGCAGGTAAGCATTACTATTACAACAGTATATATTAAGTGCTGATGGAATTTGAAGATTCTCCGATATAACCATGACAGCCTTATCGCAGAATACATTCGTGGCAAGTTGAGCTGTCTCAATGCGCAAAAACTCAGCCTACTCGACACATCAGATCTGCCCGAGATTGATTCAGAGACTGAATCAACAACAGATGGGCTACATTTCAGTCTTGGCTCACCACAGGCAATGCAGTCATTTGCGGATGTTGAAGCCAGTAAGACAGGCAATCCGGCCTTCATTCGATTTCAGATCAAGCTGAATGAATTTTTGAACCATGCATTCAATGCCAACAATATACCATTTCCCAATGGGAGACGAATCCAACTCACTGCTGATGACACGGTGTGTCAACATTGCAAAGCACATTATTAGTAACTTATCGGAATCATTAACAGATCACTGAGTACCGATTTCTTAAAGTCAACTATGCATCACTCGTTGACTGGCATGTATCTGCCGACTATCTCCGATGCAGTCCAATGTTTCACGGATTGCCTCGATATGATTTCGTCATCCTGCAGACAGAAGCTAGCGTCATCTTCGCACAATTATTGATGGTCTTCACCTGCATGGTCGGAGATGTCCAATACCCTATCGTGCTCACTCTCCCATATGATCAACCTGTTGGTGCTCGTCCACGGAAGGACAAAGATCTTGACTTCTGGCAAGTTAAGGCAAAGCCTCAAGTCTCCGCAGAATTCTTTTTGGTGCAATCCATCATCCATGGTTGTGTATTGGTGGAAGACAGTAGCAGACCCAATGAGGCTTTGGTTGTTGACACTCTTGATACAGATATGTTCCTTCGCATAAAGGAAATTCGTACTAATAGTACTACAGCTGGTTAGTAGGTTACTTGTGACTGATTTGTTCACCTTGACCTTTGTTTGACTGCATTGTCCTACACTAAAGCGGCGAGTTATTAGCTTCCCCTTCAACAATGATCATTATCCCGTGCACCACACTCCCTCTCACCTGCCGCAATGACAAAGGACCAGCTCGGACTCCAGAGGAGAAAAAGCGACAACTGGAAGACCTCTCAGTGACGGCCCATTACTGCCACTACGATTCAGAGGCTGACTGCCAATGGTCATTAATCCTCGCGCATTTCAACAAGTGTTTCGATTCCCACCTTTGCCCAAAAGGTTGTGACAACTGTTTGAGAGGTGGAACAGTTTTTCGCCAGCTGTACACCTTGGAGGCGCAGCAGGTCCAGGCAATCCGGCTATTTGGGGAAACGGCCTCCACAGATAGGATCGCCCTCAGTCATTTCAAAGATGCATACATGGGTTGGATTCAGAACTGGGCGAAGGTTCATGAGAGTGGGCAAGGATGTGGATTCAGATGGAGACCTGGACCATACTATCATAAGTGCGATGCTAAGCGCCGATATATTTGCGATAGCACAAGAAGCCTCTGTGGCATGCCTCAGCGGCAACCTCCCCATTGAACTGGCATTTAGAGATAGTAATGCCACTTACCGCTGCTTCTACTCTTGCACCAGTTCATGTATCATCACCTGCTCTAACACCAAGCAAGAAGGTTCACACATTCTTGCCTTAATCTATGTTGTCCTAGCTAACATGTCCTGAATAATTAGGCTGCTACAGCCCTGGCAAGTATTACCTCACTAGTCTCGCCAACCAAGCCATCTTAACGGACACCCTTCCTGTTTTGATCGATGATCGCAAGTGTTCCATCTCGATGCTGGACTCTCAGACAGCCAATGATGAGGACACCCTTCCTGTTTTGATCGGTTTTCACAAGCGTTCAATCTCGCTGGACTCTCAGAACACCGAGGACAAGCTTGAAGAGCTTCGCAAGAAGTTTGTCGGTGAAATTGACCTACCTGAAAGTCAGTGACTTAATTTCATTTGCGAATCAATCTTCAACTTAACTTTTTAGATATGGTAAATGTACTATGGACATTCTTGCAGGCATCTCATCGTGTGTTCGGAAGCTCGCATGCTTCTAGAAGATTTGCACAGTATTGGTTGTTGGCTCTCTGCAGCTGACAACCCAGAAGATTCGCACAATATTGGTCGTTGGCTCTCTGTAGCTGACGACCTGGAAGATTCGCACAATATTGGTCATTGGCTCTCCATAGCAGGTAGCCTCAAATCCGTCGCTTAGGCACCCAGGACAGCACAACCACTGGTCCAACGCCGCAACAAGCCTGGATTAATGGTATCCCTCAAATTTCTGAGCCCGCCATCACTTCCAAACCCACTTGCTCCCCATCAACACTTACATCAAGGATTCCACCCACCCTGAATACCTCTTTGATGCCATGGAGACTACCTGGCCTTATGTTCTCCAACGAGCGCATCAACCGTGATGAGTGTATGTGCACTGATTTGCCTGCTTGCTCTTGAGCCATCTCAAATGTCGTCCACACCATCCTCAGGCTGTCGCCATCGAGGATTCATCGAGCAAGGCCATACTCAAGTTTCAAAAAAAGTTGGTCAAGCTTAAGATGAAAACTGGCCTGCAGTAGTTCAAGGACCATCTCGTGTAGAGTCAGAGGTTCACCGCTGTAAGGATTACATCCCCGATTAGCCGAGTCATGCAGCGATGGGTTCACTGCAACATCGTCACAATCATCAGTCCCAGCAGCAGGCTCCTCGTTGGGTTGGAGTTGGCCAAGACCAAGTGCTCGTGCCTGGCCAGCAATGCGCCGCCGCAGCCTCGATGTTACAACACAGCCGGCTTGCTCCACAGCTCACCAGACCATAAGCATGCTGTCCAGTCTGCTCCATTCTGTCAGCTGACGGACCTCCTCGTGAAGCCCATCTGCCATGAGCTCCTTCAAAACAGACAGGGGAACACAACCATGTGCCAAGTTGATGAGTGTCTGGATCGACAAACAGCTCGGCCCGGTTACCTGAGATGGCGCAAGGAGGTCAAAAATCCTATGTGTGCTATCAATGTTGTGTAGTGAGCCAAGATTGATCATATTCTGTGAGTTGTGTATCCAAATTTTTGGTGGTCCATCAGCAATCTGATGTACGGGATCTGGGTGCTGCAGAACCCTCTTCGAAAAGCATGTGTTGGACTACTCAAAGGTGAATGTCAGTCACACGATTGAACCTAACTCATTGGAAAAGGACTTCTAGATGTGTCATTGCACTTAATTACAGCTCTCCACATGCACTATACCACATGCTGAGTGCCGCATTGTCAATGACATCAGATGATTATGCAATAATATGCTGACATTTTTGCCAAGTCCATTGGTTTCAATCGGTCTTCCAACCTAGATTCAACCAACTTTGTCGTTCATTGACACTGTAACTGTAATTGTTACATCGACAAGACTCAGTTTGACGATACTTTGAGGATCACGGAATGGCAGCTACAACCTCTCGACATAAATGTAATGCAGCTATGACTCATGTCGCTGTGTCTACAGGTAAGTTGCATCGTTTTCTCTGCCTCCCATCAAGCCACGAGGCTAATTTGTTTGATTATCAGTGCTATACTGCAATATCAAGCTACCTCATGTACGACCATGTGTTCCTTTTGTTCCGACATTGCCCATCAACTGCCCCATCTATAAGTTGTCTGCCCCATCGTATTTTTATGACCACTGAGTCTGAAATTCAACCCACTGCAGGTATCTCTCTCATTGACATTATGCCCCAGCAGGCTCCCCGTCACGTCGTTCAATCTGATGCGTCTGAATCGGACTTCGACGATTTGGACTCTCCATCTCTTACAGCGGGGATCTCATCAACTGCTAGTCATCAGTCATCTGAAACAGTCTCCAACAGCCGCAGGCAACAGTCGCATGGGGACATTGAGGTATTGTAGTCATGTAATGCTTGCAACTATTCAATATACTGATTCTCATGTCTTAAGATCGTTCGGTGCTTGCAGTTGGAAAACCAGGCACTCAAGAACGATAACTGTACTCTGGGCGAGAAGAACAAGACTTTGTCATCTAATCAACGCCAGCATTCAAGCACTCAAGTCCCAGATGAGCTGAAAGTTTTCGATGTCGAGCTCTTGACCTTTTCCCGCAAGTACGGAATTGTTGCGGAGATGTTCCCACCTGAGCATTGTATCCTCAAACTCCCTGTGCTGAACCCTCCACCTGCAATCATATCCGGGAGTCGCTATGCCAGCAAAAGTGCTGAAGAGCTCGGTCTCGTGACTGAGCTATACTCACTTCTTCCAGACCATCTCCATCAGTTTGTACCGACTTCGCATTTTCAATCGTTGGTACGTCAGTCTATTATATTGTGTGACCTAACAATGATTATTATTATGTACTGCAGCTAGAACAACAACTTCAAGGCGGTCGCTTGAGCGAAATCGGCAAGTTAAGGGTGATGGCAGGTTGAATATTCAGTCTTGATCTGTCGTACTTCAACATTGGTTTTACAAATTGGGACACAATCCCTGAAATCCAGAAGATGCTCGGTACTGGTCCAGGTAATTGTTCACCATTGTCGAAGTTCCCACCCATCCTTTTTACGAGGCAGGAAAGGGACCCTACGATGTCCACGGTTTTTGGAAATTGGGAGCCACTCTCAAAGGTACTTGTTTTATTTATCACTGTCTGAATCTATTCTTATGCTGTCTGGTCCAATTCACCCAGGCAATCAGGATTGTAATGTTTGGGAAAAATTCACTAGATATTGCTGGATGGCCTTGTGCCAAGTGCAATGCTCGAAAATGGGGCATCACCTCATGCACCCCTAGTCTTCTTGCCTGGGGTTGGGTCGCAGTGAGTTCTTTAAGCCTTCGCTACAATCAATTTACAGTATCTAACATTTCTTTAGTTAATCTTCATTCTGTCCCCCAACACTTCGTTCACCAAAGACGGAGTTGGTGCGAAGTCTCGTCTACTGTATGCGGCAATGTTTGCAGCCTACAAACAATTGTGGGTGACGCTTTGGGAAGAGCCATGCATTCTGTCGATCCACCAACAAATCGATCGCCATGTCTGGCAGTCAACATCATCTTCCAATATCGCGACTTCAGATGCTGAAGGCAAGGATTTGACATCCAATCTAATGTGCTTGGCCCTTGCCAATGCAGGGCGCAAAGATCGAGAATCAGACTCTCCGACTACTGATGGTCACCGTGTCTCTCCAGTTCCCCCCAGTTCACCAACACTCGCTCTGGCTGCACCACCTGCCTTTCCCCTCACTGCACTAGCACCAGCCATCACCCCTGCTGTCGAGACTACTGCCACTGTAACCCCTCCTGCTCCAGTTGCGCTTGCGGCTGATGAAACCCCTCCAGTTCCTGATGTACCTGACAGTGTGGAAATGCTGCCACCAGCAGCTTCATCCTCCAGTCGACAGGGCTGTGGAAGGGGAAAGAGGGGTGGGCTAGCGGCTATATCATTGTCAGCAGAGCAGCGAGAAACACAGACTTGGAGAAGGAACTAGAACTACTGTTGCAGTGTATTACAGTAGTATTATGCAGTCAGATTAGTGCTCATTGTAATCTCAATTTGTTGGTTTCAATGATGTTCGAATTGACTTCAAACTGAACAATATTTATTGAGACAAAGTTAGGAAGCCTTGGGATCTCAATTGCAACCTACAATGAAACTGACTTGCAGCCGACAGTTAATATTACTAATTGGGTTGAAACTTTCGTTGAAAGGCACACTTGCAACCAGCTTGTGACATAATTGTAACATAATGCTCTTTTATTGTAACACGTTGGAACCTAGGCTCGTCATTGGATCCTTGCAACCCATTGCAAGGTCATGAATCCCAAATAGGAAATTTCCGACAAACTGTGCAGTAGCAAAATCCTTGAAATTATCCGGAAGCTTGAAGACGATGCACACATGAGGATAGAATAAAAACCTGAAGAAGAACATGGGCACCTACGTGATTGAAATAGGTGACATGACTGCATAGCCGGCAAGAAGGTTTACATCTTCAGTACTTGGACTCATTCCCAAAAAACATGTAGCAGGGCCAGAGTTTGGAATTGCTAAAGGAGGTCAAATGTGTCGTGTCTGACCAAAACATGAGAGCAACAACAACGCGCTCTAGATCACACCCAGGCTCCGGTGGTGACTCTTGGAGTTCACGGTGCGCCTGAATGAAAGACTCGGATGTATAAAGTTCACCATGAACACGAATGGGTCTTTCAGATCGTCCGCGATTCCAAAGCAGTTCGTAAGGCTGATAGTAGAAGAGTTCGTCGTGCTTAACATTTGCAAGCTTTTCGCGGATGACAGATACGAGCGGTCGGTGATATAGGTCTGCGGTGAGATAATCACGGATGCCTGGGTTATCTGCGCGATTGGAAATGGGAATCTTGATATTAATTGCGCTCTTCTTCCACCCAGCGCCTTCAAATGGCATATTCCCCTCTGCGTCTTCGGAGCTAGATCCGAGTTGTTGATCGATCAAGTTCCAGCGCGTAGAACGGATATCTTCAAGTCGAAACTCAGGATCGCAGATAACCCGTAACAATTCCTTAAAACTCTTCTGCGACTTCTGCAAACCCCCATTCCAAAACCAGTCGCCAAGCCCAAATGATGATTTGTTTGGATATGGGTAGAAAGCGTCCAGATCTTCCCCACCGCCATCATGATCCTGCATTGGGTGTCCGGGCCTGCTGGGATCCTGACCTTCTGGGTCTGAATGTGTCAGAGTGAGGTTCTCCAAAGTGGTAATCTCATCTGGATCGTGAGTTGGCAGGCGACTACTATAATATTGTCGTGAAAGTCCGAATATATTAGGAAGCGTGCGCAAGATGCGCAGGGCGCACGACAGTGGTGAACTTGTATCCGAGACAGACGAAGTATCTGCAGCGGGGGATGGGGCTTGCTCAACGATAGGTGGTGGTAGTGGCTGAGGGAGAATATCTCGGAACCGTGCGGGAAGACGCCGGTTGAGGCGCCGTGGGCGACGTTCTGCAAGCGACCGTGGATCTTCTACTGCCTGTGAGACTTCCGGAGGACTGCATATATCCTAAAAGACCATTCCGGTGTCAATGGTAAGAATATGATCTGCATTCAGGGTGACACTCACATTGTGTTCAATTTCGATGCCTGCCATGGGAAGCTCCGATCCTGATCCTGAATTTCCACCGAATTCTACTCTGTCGACAGTGATAGCAGCCTGCTCGGAACTGAACTCTGAGCCAGAAAATTCATAATCCAGTGGTGGGCGCACCCTGCTCTCTCCCGATGAAGTTCGAGTTGTCGCATTACAGCTAGAGGTTGAGGTAAACACAGCCGCCTCACCATGTCCGTCTTCTTTACACAGCTTTTTTCTTGTAGTCCATACTTCTTTGGCCTTTGTTAGCGCATTCGAAAGGCGTTTCTTTCTCTTTCTGCACGTTCGTTGATGGTTTGCATATGCGTTTAGCTGAGCGAAGCTTCTTCCGCAAGTACAATTAGTCGAGTATGCTGCCAAGTACACGTCTGGTGAAGACGAGAGTGAGCCGTCCATGGAAGTTCAGGTCTAAGTCGATGAAACGAATCAGACTAACGAGTAGTAACCGGAGTGTCATTGATACTAACGTTTTGTAGTAGTTGAAGGCACCTGCTAGTAGTAGACTGCCGGCGGTAAGTACAGTATCAGAAAGCGGACGGAACAAAGTATTCAATATCTCTTGGATGCAAGTAGAAGGTACCCACAGTGGTAGAGGCTACCGGTTACTGGTATCGGATCTGGAAATCAGGCTAGTATTTACATGTATAGGGCTCTAGAGAGAACAAACATGGTTGAGACAACAAACTTGACCAAACTACAATGATTACCTGAAAACCGAAGGAAATTATAAAAGCTTGAGGATGGTCAGTCAGTTGCACAAGTGAATCTTCTGGTGCACAGATGGCTCCTGCTCGTACAGAGACCAACATCACAGCTGAAAAACTTTCGAGGGAGTGGACAAGTCAGCAAGCAAAGCTTGCAGCTCGCGTCAGCAGCAGCACACATGCTGTGCTTGAACTAGACGAGACTGGAGAAACGCTCTGCATATGGTATTGGTGTGTTAGCCAAGTAGTAAGGGTGTCTTGAAAATCTCACCCTTTTGTTGGATCCAGGCCAGTTAATGAGGATGGGGAACATATTGTTCCCTCAGACCTAGTAGTGTATCGAAACTCTCACCAATTCCAAGCACCACACTGCCTTTGTGCATTTATGGATGACCATGACCCTGTCAATCACTGCGAGGCTGCCATAGTAATCTCAATGCAGGGACCAAATGCAGGACAGTATGTAGCCTGTTGTGCATTGAGCAAATGCAGTTATGTTGGTAAGTTAACGGGTTTGGCAAGATTAAGCTTCAGGTCACCTGATGAGCCTGCAGTCTGTGTTGAGCAAATGCACACTTCACTCGGCTTGCCCATCAAGCATTATCTAAGATGAAGTGGGGCTATATCAATCTGTAACCATCGATGCATCACTAATCTAACATGTCTTGTATTAGGACCTGATGAGGCCAGGCCGCTTGAAATCATGTTTTTTGATGGGAATGGTATGTACTACATGGAACAAGTTATGATTGCACGGTAAAAGATACTTATTCATACATAGACATCAAAGTTGGACTCATCCAACGGCGCCAGCTTCAGCGAAATGAAAAAACACTCGAAAGGCTGCTGAAATTGGACTCCTTTACCCAGCCCAGCCTCACAGTGGATGAATTCCACAGATTTCTTACACTGTGCAATGGTTGTGAGCTGATAATGACAAGGTGGATGTTTGAGCATCACCGTTGTGTAGGAAAGCAAAGAGCCGAGGTTATCAATTTAACTATAGAAGAAAATTAGTACTACATAGTAGCAGCAGAACTAGGAATGGAGCTCTGGAGCCTTGCAATACAAGCGGGTGTGTTTGATGTTCTGTGTCGAGTAAGTGAGGATGGTGCGAATTCAAGATTCAAAAGTGCAGCCATAAGTACTGACTCAGACGTGTAAAAGTCCGTGTTGAAGTCCCAAGAATAGACATTGTCAAGCTTGCATGCTGGTACCCATCGACAAGGAGTTTACAACTCGTGACATGATGGACGACATTTCTCAGAGATATAGCAGTAAGAGATCGACATGTGGAGTACATAATTCCTACCATATGGACAATTGTACAAGTGAATCAGTAGGGTAACAGTAGCTGTTACAACATAGATATAAATGTAAGCATAAATATAATAGTGAACAATTTGTATGGGAGAACGTACACCATGGTCATGAAACAAGAACAGATACGATAGGGATTAATCTTTGTATGGATCTCAAGAGGATTCCTCTCCGTCTGACCTACCCAAGCTCGACACATCACTATCCGGATCATCACCTGAAGGTGTCAGGCCGGAGACACACAACACACCATGGGTAACACCAACATTGATGTCAGCTTTGTGCAGTCTCTGGTGTGTCTGTACTTCCACCAGACTGTAAAGTTCCTTTTCAATGTTGATACGTTTCAGGCACTTTTGGATAAGTTTATACTCTGCCCGGCGCTCTGAGCATTTAGCGCTGATAAGAGCAACAGTGAGGTCACTATTATGACATGTCCCCCAAAATGGAGGGAGACAAAGAGCATCCACCTTATTCATTAAAATCAGTCGCATGATAACGATGAAATCTAGTGATAGTACACACAGACGAAGGCTCCTGCAAGCCAGATTGATGGGAGGCAGTTGGAGAAGGGTATGCGTCCCGAGGTTGTTGGCTTAATGTGCGGGTGCACCAGGCAACACAATCATTGCCCTCAGGAATCGGTTTAAAGTTATGTGGGGTGTTAGATCTAGGGGACGATAAAGAGTCAAGAGTAGGCAGACATGCAGAAGACATGGATTAGGTCAGCCAACGGTTGAATTCGTTGAAAATAGTAACTTTTAGTATGTTCAGTCAAGTTTAAGTAGTTGAATTTCAGGTTGTTCCGAAGGTGAATCAAATCAACTCAGACGTGTGATAGGGCTGCATCTGCATGTATGCGGTACTGCCATAGCTAACAGCAGCCAGGCAGCTTGTGAAGGCTATAGCCCTTCGTTGAATGCCCGCTGAGAAGCTGTTGAACATTTGAACTCCGAGGTCAACATCATTTCACCGGGCTATCCTATGCATTCCATATTGTAGATATGAGTTCAGGAATTCAATTCTTTATTCACATGAATCCAAATACGGATTCACGAATTCATTACTTGGATGGAAATGAAGGTCACAAATTCAATTTGGGCTCACATAAAGATTCAGGAAGTAGCGCGAGTAATTTCCCAAGGTAAAGTATTTGTCATCCACTACCAGGCTATGCAGGAAGACTCCGCATCCATTCAATCCTCATTAGCCTTGTTACATTTTGCTTTCATCGCGCCTCTTCATGCACTTGCTTCTTGGGTCAGTTGTGTCTACCTGATTGTTAATGATCGATGAACGAACAACTCCAGAAGGTATTCCAGAAAGTCTTAAAAGTACGTTGAAAATGGCACATTGAAAGCCCTATCAAGTACTCCAGACTCTCTTACAATGCGCATTGGTTATTCATACATCCCACCCTCTCACGTCAACAGACATCCAATTATCTTGGACTGGTTTGCCGATGATGTGAGTTTCAAACTTGGTGTCTTCTAAAATATCTCACTCCTCTAGCATGTTGGTTTTACTGCGATCGAAGACACACATATCAAAGTCACATATGTGCAAGAACCCTCTGACGTGGGGTACTCGCATCATTCTGTATATTTGGTATGTTATATATTAATCTATTCACGATTTATATCAATTCCTCTGGTGTAGAACACACGTGTGTATCCTGGAATATCAGTAAGATTTTCTGGACTTGTAGGAGGTTACCAAGATTTATTGTGCACATTGCAGTCGAACCAGTTTGTTGTGCCCAACGGCTGGAGAGCAGTGAGTATGTACACACACAGTGACAGTAGCACACTGATGATAATCAAGGTACGTGTATCGGGGCAATACATGAGCTAAAACTGACTTCTTGACAACAGAAGGTCACTGATCCTATCGCAAATCTGGCACACAATTTCTTCCTTAATCCTGAGCCTCATCTCAGGAATATTCTTTTGGATCCTGTTGTTCAAAGTCCTGCTCCTGCCCACCCTGTTGTCGGTTATACCTCTCTCAGTCCAGTGGCCACTTTGTTCACCTCAGATGCTGCATCTCTCTTCAGTAACTCGGATATCTTCTCAATAAGTGAGAACAATTGGATGAACCCTGCTCCGGTTTCACCTGCAGCATCATCCATCCCTCTAATGCTTCCGCCATATGACAAACCGGCCATACATGTGAACACCACATTGCTCCCATATGGTTCTGTCATTGGCATCCAGAGACTACCTGTCTTTATCGGCTGCAATCTGCAGGTCTTTACGGAAGGCATATCTTATACATCAAATTACCTGAAGAGTCACTTTACTGCTGCATGGACAATTATATCCAATGCCAGGCTCATGGGCAGAAATTACCTGACTATCAACATCCAAGGTAGTGAGGCTGCATTCAAGTCATACTGTGTACAGGTGATCACTGAAATGCAGACTATCGGTAATGCTTCTCCTCAGCCCCCGGAGTCTGGTAAGGGTGAACACTGATAACATCTACTTTGATACGCTTACAATATAGCAGGACTCCAATGCCATGAAACCGGTGAGACTGAAATTTTGAACCTCCTGCATCCAGATATCATTGAAATAGTACATTTATATTGTTGCTTTGGCTCTTCTGACTGAGATGTATATCTACAGTTATATGCCAAACGGTCTGCATTTATAAAATCAATGAGGACTTGTGCCCAGAGTTTCGTCGAAGAGCCAAAGAAAACCTGTTTGGGCGGATTTTCTTTGAAGACCAAAACATCTGAGGAGGCTAAAGCACTTATCCAGCATCTTACCAATATGACAGATTGGAGTAGTGATGTCACATCCATCGCTTTTATGTTTGACAGCAACTTTGTATTTGTTCTTATCACAATCATCTGATTACAGGACTAACCTCTAATGTTCCAGAACCCATACCACAATAAGGCCTTGTTGGCAATGCTTGCGCATCGGATTATCCGACCCATCCATGGCTGTGTAGAGTCACTTCTTACTCTCTTCCCTGAGTCCTACACGTCCATTCCAAAACACCTCATTTCCAGAATATGTGCTCTGGTGTGTCATGTCTATGTTTCACAACTCAGAACTCATAGCTTTCAACAGATTATCGCATTCTTTAGGACATGGCTTAGTGACCACAACATCATGTTTACCCACTCCCTGGATGAGGAACATCATCACCAGCTGGACTTTCTTACTGCGGCTCGCTCAGGCACTGATGAGCGATCCATGGAGTTGGAACATTGGCTTACCACACGTAGTGGCCCTGATGGTTAGGAAACAGCACTGTAAGTCAACTCAGTTCAAGTTTTTCTCATGCTCAATCTCATGTACACAGTGAAGAGGCATTGAGGCAACAGAATGGACTATGAGGCCCGTCCAGGAGATGAAGGTTTTCACGCATTGAAGATCGAGTTGAAGTGATGTATTATCACACTACTAGTTGCATGCAGATTTTTTTTGTAGTACCATGATAGATTGTTTTTCTGCTCCTTGACCCCTCAGGCATGTAGCAGAGTCTTGATCTAAGGACTCGAAGCCTTGCTTCTGAGCATCATGCGCTACATTAAGAGTCATCGTGAAGTTTTGGAACACTAATTTGCTTCCATTAGTAATCATTATAAGTTTTTGACAACCGTCGGAAGAGTTCGGATTGAAACGAGTCAGCATGGATCAAACCTTGATAACAATCTGCTCCATCATCTCTTGAAAAAGGACACACTGCAGTCTTTTTCCATACATACTGTAATGCTTACTCAAGTTCAACTTCTAGAGGCTACTGGTCAATATATTAGCCTTTGGCATGAGACACCAATGAACAACATAGTAGTAAGTTCTAGCATCCAACTTGAAGATGGTGGCTGACCACCATACCAGCTTGTCATCTGCAAAAGTATTTGCTATTCCATCATGTTCTTTAGAGTCAGTAAAGTTCACCTTTACCTCAAAAGCTCGATCCTACTAACTCGGGCCCTTCCTATCTTGCAGCCTCTAGCAGGCCAGCCACCTACCGGTGGCGCCTGTTTTTAAAACCATACCCCATCCCCTTCCAAGGTCTTCATTTTACTTTCAGGCGACGGCTTCTGGGGTGCCGAGGATATGGTATGGCGCTCGTTCACAATCTGCAACCTCAATTGATTGATCAATCGATGTTATCCAGTAACTGTGTTCCTGCTCTCTGTGGCTGAACATCTTAGGAGATTTTGTTATCTTTGCCCTGATTCCACCCATAGCTACCATCTCTGCATTTCTGTGGATGTGAGTTGAACACACCGCTGATCCGCCTTACTTGGCTCATGCCTTGACAGAATGCAGTTCTCGCAGCTGATGGTGGAGGTGACACTCCCCATTGTTGTCGGTGTACTATGGCTAGGTAAGCTGGCAGTGCTACCCCCTTACCCTTTTTTCTACATCTGACTAACTTTATTGATTCGAATCAACAGCATTGGGCGCATGGTTCGCGTAAGTGCATATTTTCTTGATGCACAAACAGTTATTAACTGCACGCTCTAGGGACGTCATCGAATAAGAGCAATACTCCTTTGCAAAGGACAGCAATTGTGGTTGTTTATGGCCGATACTATACATATTATAGCTAGGCTGGTTTGGGGAACTTCCAGGATACTCCAGTGAAGCTATATACCCACAAGCCCTGATGTATGGAGGCTATGGTCAGCTATATTCAACCATAGGAGCATGTCATGTATAACAGTTACCTGCGTCAAAAGTCTTCAAGGCAGCGTGCTTTCCCTGAAGTGGCAGAATCCTGTTCCTTCTCTTGCTCGCAACATGAAAATTAACCGCGGTTTTCACTGTGAACGGACGTACGTCTGTGTTACTTCGTCCTGCTAGCCTGGACCGGTATCACTCAGAGTGCATGATATCTTGCTTGCCTGTTTGCTTGGCATGCAGAACAGCTACTCATCTCCTGTGTTGTCATTGCTGATTTTGTATACTTGACTCATAGAAGCAGGTTTCTTACAGTAGACTTTACTCATGAGTCAACCGATTCTTGGGCCTATTGATGCTGAAGTATCTTCCAAGGCCACCATAACGAAGTGTCGTCCCACACGTCCATTGCATACCATGCATATGGATATCTCACCTCAATATTGGAACCCAACTTCACTGGACCCTAGGTAAGTTGGAGACGATGTTTGATGATGGTGAAGAAGTATCGTAGCCCTGACATCTTGCTTCAGGATGTAGAGATTGTGAAGGCACTCATTTCTGACAGGAAGGAGCAATGCAAGTGCATGTTGCTGCTGTGACTCGCCTCCGTAGTTTCTGATGAATATTGGTTGCTCGAGGTTTGGGATGACTATGACTTTTTTTTTGAGGTTGTTGTCAATGATATCAATGGCATTGATGTCAACAAGTGCGTCTCTACTCCTCCAACGACCTTCTTACCTGGAGATGCTGATTCTTAATCCTTAGAATTCAAACCAACTAATCCTCCTGTGAGTGTTATTTATGAATTCTGTTCATTCTCTTGTGCTAGTCTAAGTAGCGACCTATGACACATTTTTGCACCTCAGCTGAATTCCCTCTTAGGTAGGTGTATACACTTTTTGTCTGTTTTCTCTCTCTCGAACTGCCGTTACGACTGGTTCATTAAGTTGAAGACTAGCCTAGAACCTACGGTCAATCTTGTTCTTTTCTTTTGACCGTCATGACAAGCTCTCCAACGCCTGACATAGGCTCTCTATCTCTCAATCCTCACCTCCATGACAATTACAATGGTGACAACAGGCAACAGTATCAGTTCAGCACAAATCAGCAACTTTCAGGCCAGTTTAATCCTCTAGGTGGTATGACGCCATCCCCTCTCAAGATGAAACCCACCCATGCTGGTCTTCCCACCGTAAGTCATTTTCTTTTCTGAACATCCTAATATTAAAATCATTCCTTAGCACCTGAATTCCATACCTGATATCAACACTCTTTCGTCATCTACAGTATTTCCCTCCTCGACTGTCTGGATCCAATCACTTTCCTATGCTAGCCTCACATTCAGCATCTTGGCCGCATTTGGAGCTGTCTTGGGTAAACAGTGGCTTAACTCATACAAGGTAGCTCGAGAAGGAGAGGCTCTTGAAGAGCGCGGCATAGAGAGGCAGATGAAGCTAGACGGAATAGAATATTTCCACCTGCAGACCCAGTAACATAGTTACATTTCCTGAGTGTGACATCACTGACATTATTACAGGGGCTGACTGTGGTGATATCTCCTCTCATTGCTTTGATGAAGGATCAGGTCGATGCTCTAGTCGATCATGGGGTGAAAGCTGCAAACCTGGACAGCATATTGGGTGCAGAATGGGCAGCCTGGGTCAAACAAGAGGTTGTATCAGGGCATCTAAAACTGCTTTATGTGGCTCCTGAAAGGTTCACATTTATGTATGACTCATGCATCACTCTGACAATACTTTTCTAGGCTGAATAATGAAGGATTCATTGCGATGATGAGTCATGTCAAAATCTCACTGCTAGCTATTGACGAGTCGCATTGTATCTTGCAGGTGTGTTGGTATGTTATAATTTGCACGAGATTGTCATTCATGAGTGGGTTGTAGTGGGGTGCAAGCTTTCAGCCCGAGTATTTAAAAGTAAGCATGCCATGCACCTGTTCTGGTTTGCACTCATGGGCCTGTAGATTGTGCGTTTTGCAGAGGAAATGGATGTAGAACATGTCCTCTGCTTGACGGCAACCACTACTCCAAATGTGGCAGAAGACATCTGTAAATCATTCTTCATTGATACTCAGAAAGGTGTGTTTCACACCCCAGTGTACCGGTCAAAGTAAGTGCTCTCATGTTCCCATTATCCCCACTAATAATAGTTTTGAATGCTAGTCTGGCTTTGCAAGTTCAAGTCGCAAATACTCTGGATCAAAAACTTGATACTCTTATTCCCTTCTTGAAATCTTGAACCGGACCTGCAATCATATATGTGACCCTGCAGAAACATATGGAAGAGGTTGCTGGCCATCTTCGCCCTCATGGAATGAAACCAATGGTGTATCATGCTGGATTGAATGGCGATGAGTGTGCACATGTCCAACAGCAATTTATGGAATCAGATAATGGTATAGTTTGCGCTACCATTGCTTTTGGCATGGGAATCGATAAGGGTGAGTCATTCGTTCAATTCAAATTTCGAAGCCAGTGCCTTGACTGGTCCAAGCCAACATCTGCCAGGTGGTCCACCTGTTCATGCCAAAGACTCTTGAGAATTATTGTCAGGAAGTTGGCAGAGCAGGACACGATGGTTTACTGTCCACATGCTTGATGTTCCTTTCTGTGCCAGATATCCCTATTTTGGAGAGATTTTGTTGTGGCGATACGTGCAGCAAGAGGAGCCTCCACTTATGGCTCCAAGAAGTAGTGCTCAAAATACCTGATAGGGATGGCACATTGAGCTTCAACAATTACCAACAATCTAAAGAGTAAGCAATTGAGTCTCTGCTGTATGGCAGTCCCTTATCTTGTCACACTTGTAGGTATGATATCCACGTATGAGATTATTTTGTTTGTCAATTTGTATTGCCACTCACTTTTTGTAGCCTACCATCCTGGGCTTATGTTATGCACAACTCGATGTAGAAACAACAATACTGCGAGGCACGAACAAGGCTCCTGGCTGTATCTGTAAATGTTGTAGGTCGCTGTAGAGACTAATATCTCTGTGGCCTTGCAGGGATCTAAAATCCCATTGTTACTATCACTTCCCAACATAGCACGACTCATATCTCACACAGCGCGCCCAAGCACATCGTCGGCCGCTCGCAAGCGCCAGCGCTCCGGTCGCTCCTTAGTCGCGCATCAGCACGCGCATCCTTGGTTCCGTCGCACGTCCTCCGTCCATCCATTCCATGTCCGTTCGGTTCATCGGTGCGTATTCCGATTCTATTTTCATTGATTCTAACATATCTCCGGCGCTTATGGCCATATTTCGTATGTTTTCCGTTATGGACCCTTTATTACATATTATCTCACGTCCGCTTCGCTTCTCAGTTCACTTTAACGCTTGACAGCACTTATCATTACTTAGTATATATAGACGTGTATAAATCGTGTAATAGGGATCTTTTTCTGCCCACACATCGTTGGACTATAAGTCTAAGTTAACCTCTAAAAACTCAAAAGTATCTAAGTACAATACGAGCGCCGCCGCCGTACACTACTAGAAACTCTGTCCATTAGTATTCTGACTCATTGAGAGTCGCTGCACTCCACCACCCGCACGCGCACCGCTTCCACTTAAAGCGCGCGCTTCTGTTATAAGTCGCGCGTCAATATCTATCGTCGGCCGCTATCGCTCATCGGCGCTTCACGTCGCGTGCCTAACCAGGCTTGACCAAGCGCCCAGTTCAGTGTTTCCCTCCGTTTTATACACCTAGAGGAACCTTCTCAGTAGCAATCCCCTTGGGCCGACGTATATCTCGCTCACCGAGGACTACTTGAGTTATCTCATACTACCTATATTCACCCACTTCCCATTCCTCTTCTACAACTGGAGCCCACCGCGAGGGGATCATCTGAGAAAACCGGTAGGTTACTCAGGCCTACTAAAGAATGCGTCGCAAGAAACGAAGTCTTGGAAGAATTTCGAAGAGCGGTCACCTCTTCGTGCTTATCCACCATTCAGGAAATTTTGACTCCGGTCAAATATAACTGGCCGCGAAACTTCTCGGAGCCGACGCGCCCCGACCTATCCCTATTAACACCAAACCCGTTTGCACCCGCATCGCCAGTGACGCCATCACCCAGAGAATCAGTACACGGCGAATCCTCAGACAACTTCGAATCACACGACCATCCCCGCAACCTGCTGCCAGGCGCATTTGTTGAAACGCCTAAAAATCCCCTAGATCCGAACTTTATTCCTTTGTCTCCGCTTACCCCGCTAACCATATCCAGCGCGACTATAAAAGAAGAACCTTCATCTCGGATACACGCGCCACCAGCAAGCGCAGCACCTATCATGAAAACAGAACAAACGGAACCCCTAATCAGGCCGAACTCTATTTGGAACCGCGCCGCCATATTTATCCCTCAGTTCAGTCATCCAGGACCTTCAAACGTCATACTCCCAACACCCACCATAGCCAAACCTCAACCTACCAAACCCCAATCCCAACCTGTCCAAATGGCCACAACTATCAGAATGCCGATCCATGGCTCAGACAAAGCGCCAAAGTTTGATGGCACGGCGGAAAATCTCCTCACATTTATCGAGGATTATGAAGCGTGCGCCGACGACGCGAACCTCATCGGAGGCGATCACATCAAGGGTATCATCCGCTACTTGCCTAACAGCGAGCGCGCGCTCTGGTCTGGAATGCCGGAGGCGAAGTTAAGCGACTATAATGCCTTTATTAAGGAGGTAAAGGAAATGTATCCTGGCTGTGAAGGTGAGAAGCGTTACGGAGTATCCGACCTACAGTCGGTAACACGCTGTAGGGATTCATTTCTGGTTGGGCTTGTAGAGACTGTTTTTACCTTACCTTATGTTGGCACTTTTGTAGCTTACATAATCAAGCAATCTTTTCACCAGTTACCAGTATGAGTCAGAGTCCTCAGTAGTTTTTATGATATTTCCTCTCCTCTGAGCCTTAAGCCTAGTCCAGAAACCCTTTAGGGTCGAATAGCAGCTAGGTTCTGCAAGACCCAACACATTGTTCAGACTCACCATCTGAATTGTTGTACCTTCAGCGCAAACACGCGGCTTTACCAATGCCTTCGCTCACTGAGCTCGGCAATTACCGCCGCGCCTTCAGGGAGATCGCTGATTCCTTGATTGCGAAGGATCACATAGGTATGGCAGAACGGAACCGCATGTGGTTAGAAGGGTTTCCAAGCGACATCCAAGCGCTGCTTCGAACGCACTTAATGATCAAATTCCCAGATCATCATCCGCGCGACCCTTATCCTTTTGCAGATGTAGACGCAGCCGCCAAATTCTTGATTCCAGGAATGGGAACGGTATCCCCTGAAACCATAGGAACGTCGGTATTAACGCCATATCCAAGCGCTGCCGCACCGGCGGCAAAGGCACCGCAGCAACCGGCGCAAGGTACCGTTGTTAAGCAGGAATACCAAGCTCGACGACCCGGCGGCGGTTCACCATTGAGCGGTTGCATGTTCTGCGGAAAGAACAACCATTTCCTCAGCCGCTGTCAAGAGAAGGACGCCTACATTAGCGCCAGCAAGTGTAAGGTACATGAAACCTCGATGAAACTGGTATTGACCAGCGGAGATTGGATTCCCGGTCGCGCAAGCGACGGTACCCTAAAGGACCGACTAGATAGGTATCACTCTAACAAACAGGCAAATGAGGCGCTCCCCAGTTCTAGTGTTACCGCAGCACTATATGTTCGTGCGGCGATGGATGTCGACATCGTATTGGACATAGACCCGTCCGCGTTTATCCATACCGTCGCAGAATCTGAGTCTGATATAGACGAGGAGGACGTAGATGTGTTACGTGCCGCACAAGCACTCGCGCTCGCAACCGCCCGACGCGATACCAAGCGCGGATCGGCAAAGGGCGAAGGTAAGGGAAAGACCGTTAGGTTTGATGGCGTAGAAATTGCTAGCGAGTATCGCGCCAAACCAGCGCCCGCATCTAGGCAAGCCACTGTAGCAGAGGAGATTGTCTCTCCTGCAGTCCAAGCTTCGTCAAGTAAAGGGAAAGCGCCAGAAGTCGCGAAAGCAATAGCCGCACCAGCAGCGGCCGAATCATCGGCGAATGCACGCAGGGTAAATGCCGCTCCCGTAACTTCATCTTCATCCTCACCCGGTATAACACACACTGACCTTACAGACTTGACAACAACCACGGCATCATCTTCAGCAAAAACGGCATCATATCGGTATTCGCACGGCTTGGAGGACAAGGACGCTGATAAGCACATCCTCGAATGCCTGCTGGATACTCATATCAATATCTCGACAAGGGAATTATTTGCAATATCGCCTGACCTCCGCAAACAATTCCGCGATCTCACCACCACCAAGCACGTCACGGTCGGCACAGTATCAGTGAACGAACTTACAGGACACCCGGTTTCGGATGAATGGATGCGCGACTATGATGCCAAGCACTTGCAAATCGACCATGGCCGAGTTGTAGCAGACCATTTTGCGCTGCTACGCTGCATTCGCGCAACTACCATCGGCGGCAGGGTAGTAACCTGTGTCCTAGATCAAGGCGCCAAAGTCGTGGTAATGCCAGCTGCCGTTTGGAAAACGCTCGGTGTTGGTCTGCGGTCAGACCATCGCTTAAACATGGAATCGGTTAATACTAACAAGGACGCGACACTCAGCGTCATCGAGAATGTGCCGCTAGACTTCGGTGGAGGACCGCTGTACTTCCAAGTACAAGTCATACCGCGCGCAAGTTTCGAGATTCTTCTCGGTCGCCCATTCTTTAAGCTAACTACCTGCTGCACGTTTGACCTCCCTGACGGGGAACAGGATATTTTGGTTACTGACCCGAACACGCACAAGGAGTTACGCATTCCGACGCTGCCTTGGGTGAAGCGCTGCGAGCACTGTACAAGCGGTCTTTCATGTTCGGATCATCCACCGAAAGTAAAGGAGGAAAAGGGTTTTTAATTTTTGATGATCTGCACTATCCGCGGGGAGACAATACCTCTCATATCCCCCGCTACCGGTATTTTCCTTTGTCATGTCTCATTCATTCTCGCATGTTTCCCGAAGCGCCACAAAATGTGCACGCTTCAAGCGCCCAATTATCGCTCTTAAGGAGTATCCCCATATCATTTCCCAATTCCGCGCAAAGTTCCGTTTCTTCATTCTCTCATCGCATCGTTTCCGAACCGTCCAGCGCACTATGCGCATTTATTGTCCACCCGATCCGTTATCGATAAGGCGTCTATCGACGCTTTCAATTCTTACTATTATTATGATCGCGCACTTCACGCGCTGGTATATAAGCCAGTCGTGAAGAAAGTACGAACAGTGCCTACCACTATGCCGCCAGAGTATAGGATAGTGTGCAAGTTACCCAAGGACCCGCTCGCCGGGTTACCCGATTTACCGACTCACCCCCCAGAATTTACACCAGGTACCCGCTTTACGCGCAAGCGCGCAGAAAAGCTAGATTTAGATCCGGCCAATTGGCTGTGGCCCGAACAGCTCAAGTTGATAACTTGGCTCGTTAAGGCTCACGAACTCGCATTCGCTTGGGGCGCCTCTGAGCGGGGACATCTCGATGAAACATATTTTCCGCCCTATAAGATTCTGACAGTGCCGCACACTCCATGGTCACAGCACAATATCCCGATTCCACCTGCAATTACCGGCAAAGTCGTTCGCATTATCAAGGAAAAGATTTCATCAGGAGTATACGAGCCGTCAACGGCCACCTATCGCTCGCGCTGGTTTTGTGTCGTGAAAAAGGACGGCCATTCGCTGCGCTTAGTTCACGACCTACAGCCGCTGAATGAAGTCACCATTCGCGACGCGTCAGTTCCGCCGTTCCCAGATTTCTTGGCCGAAATGTTCGCCGGATACGCGGTATATGCAATGTTGGATTTGTACGCTGGGTATGATCAGCGCGCGCTGCACGTA